GCCTTACATGCCTTCCTCCCTTGCAGGGAGGCTTAGCCAAATTGTCTTGAAAAGCAATGGGCAAGAAACTCCTAAAAGTCAAGGGAAGAGGGGGACAGAGGCAGATGTCTTGATTTCTGAACACCATCTTTCAATGAAGCAGTTCTCAATAGCTCTTGAAACTCCCGTGCTGCCTACATAAAAAGTATTGAATTAATGACTTGCACTTCTGGATACCTTCCCAGAGAATAACCAAAACACCAGGCTAGACCAAAACCAGTAGTTCTGGGTATACTTCTGCCCACCCTGCTGCTGCCCGACTTCAGAAATAAATTACCCCTTTTGGAAGTACTACAGCACTATGAAAAGATACAAACAAACAGGACGTGACGGCCGTCATTTATGTCTAATTAAAAACTACAAGCTCATTAACTTAAGAAGAAATGAGGCAGCAATGTCACTGGAGGAAAGCAGCTTTCATTACTGAGCTGCAACAAGCTTCCCCGGCCAGGACCGAAGGAGCGAGATACCAAAGCCCCCACACTGTGCCAGCAAACCACCTCTGGGCAAAACACTTTGACAAGACCACGAGGGCCACGCGGCTCCTACGCACTCTTGTGGAGGGGCTTCACTTCTGCTGCGCCCTGCACCGGGGCTCTGCCGCCCAGCACGGCGCTGCAGGACCCAGGCTGGGCGTGGACGGTACCACGTTGGGGGAATGGCTGCTCCTTACCAGCTAGGGACCCATTCCTTAGGCTACTGCTGAAGCCAAGCCCAACTCTGTTTAAAGTTAGAAAGCCCTAATGCCATAGGCTAATAGTAGGAGGATGGTATGGTTTGTGGGTTTTTTTGGTTGGGTTTTTTGTTTTTGGTTTGTTTTTTTTGTTTGTTTTTTTTTTTGTTTTTAAACAAGCAATACCACAGCATCCAGGCCAATATGGTCTATAGATTGCTGCACATTGGGGGTAGATGGAAAACAAATTAAACACAAATCCTTTTTAACACTCTTCAAGAGTTCTTCCATTATTTTCTAGAAGAATATAAAAGCATTATAAATGCCAAAGTTTTCTCAATACTTCCTTATTTTATATAAAGGGAAAAAAATCACAAGAATGAGAATAAAAAAAAAAGAAAACAGCAAGACTGATTTTTATTTGTCTGGCCACCAAAATAAAGAAACTATCCTAAAAGTCACTATTGATACAGAAAAACTCACAAAAAAAGGAGATGATTGTTCAGCAGAGAGCAGCAGTTAATTGCTTCAGACACTCAATGGCACAGAACCAATCCTTTAAATAATGCACAGCACCACAGTCAATACAAGCCTCTAATTCAATCTGGAGATCCTGCTGCTACACGTGAATCATTTCAGCCACGGTCCTACAGCTTACAATTGCAGTTGATGCTCAGCCAAATTGCATCCCATCAATCAAAGACTGTGCAATCAATTAGCCAACATACAAAGCACTCTGCCTCCATCACTTTGGAGGCTGGTTAAAAATATGTTATGAGTCAATATATTTTATTGAGGTTTTTGTTTGGTTGGGTTTTTCAGTTCTGGGTCTTTATTTCGATGGGGAAGCAGCAGTCATCTGTCTTCCTTTGCAGAACGTAACTCTTCTTTATTAGATATGTATAAAAAAAGTCTGTGATAGGCAATTGTTAACTAGGAGAGTATATATTTTCAGAAGAGAATTGTTACAGTAATAAAAATACATTTTTGTAAAAGGAAACCAATTTAAAAAAAAAAAAATCACAGCAAGGTTCTGTCAGAAGATGCACTAACCACCTGGTACTCACTGACACTGAGTCAGCAGCCATGGGAAGGTTATCCTAAACAACCAGCTAAAAATAGCAGGTGGCTGACAAATCATGGGCAGTGCAACAGGGATACAATCTTCAATTACAGGAGCTTCACATTTGCAGACAAGCAAAGAGTGGAGGGGAAAAAAAACCAAACCACAACAATAAACAAAGCAGCAAAATGACAGACGCTTCCATGAACACAAGTCTTGGATTTATTCAGTTTTATTCTCTCCCCATAAACTGTCCTAGGAATATTGCAATTTTTGGAACTGAGCATTCAGACTTCACCTGATATAGAAAGTTAAAGCTAAACCATTTGAGGTCTTACTGCTGCAAGCAGTAACACAACTTTGAAGAAGATACTAAGCCCTTCTATACTGGTGGTGTACAGGCAGGACAAAATACAGCTCATACTTCCACAGCTCATTTGAGAAGCCCAGAGCTATTACCAGTAGAAATTGACCTTGCTGGGGAAAGACACATACAAAAAAAAGACAATAAAATGCAAAGCACAAGAAAAAGGAGTAGTAGCTTAAGGTCTCAGCCGTAGAAGAAAATGAAGAGATTCCAGACAACTTCACAGACACTGACTGGTTAAGGTCCTAACATGTATTGCAAAACTTAAAGTTAGTACCTGCAGTACCTGGAAGATCAGACATTGTTGACTACAGAAACAGACATTTAGGCAGTCTGCGCCTGCTAGGTATTCAGTATTTCTCCAGAAGTTTCCACAGCCTGAAAGATCTGCCTACTTCCACCGTTACACTTCAGGAAGTCTAGATGCAGCTATCACCGAGCAAACTTGACATTTCTTGATAACACAATTGAAATTTGGACATAATTCAAACTTTAATGTTACACAACTCAGACTCCAGACAGTATTCGTTCCAAAATGCCAAGCCTGAAGAAAAAAAAACATCTGAAGACATGTAGATCATGTCAGACATCCACAAAGCCAAACCATCTGGGAGAATTATACACTCAAGAAATCAAACTGATGACCCGGAAAACAAGCTGCAATTAAGAGATGCTAATTCCAGTTGCACTTCTAAAAGGCACAAAGGCCAGACCCCCAGGTTTTTATTATTGCTTGCTTTCCAGTAGAATTATGTAATACTTCGTATTAATTTCTTGAGCTTCAACATAAGTCTTTATAAAAACTTATGCAATAGATCATCCTTGGACTTCTTTGACTTTAATTCAGATTTTAAGCACAGACAGGAGATAATTTTGAAATTTCCACGTTACGGCAACATCTGGCTAACAGGAATGAAAGCCTCCATCACATCCCTGCTGTTAATATCACGGGCAAGACCCAAGCCGCAGGTGGCAGAGCAGAGGCAGATCCCTGCTCTTCTGTGCAGGGTCGCGAGACAGTCCCAGAGCGGCTGCTCTGACAGTCAGAGACATCTCACCGCAAGAACAAGCAATATCCATCTTTTTCACCCCACCCTGAGCAAAGTAAGCTCTGCCATGTGTTCAATGTACCATCACCAGCCACTTTATCTCCCAGCACCCAAGGGCAGAAGAACAACAGCTTCTGCCCAGCTCTGTATCAACGACTGATACCTGGAGAAGAGCTGCTGAAAATTGGGCTCAAACAGGACCAAGACAGTGCTGGTGTCTTGCAAAAAGCAAGAGAAAATCCAGTAGATGTCTTTCCCCAGTTGCCAGTGCTGATGTAGGTCTATGAATGCCATCAGGTTCACACCTTCGCTAAAACCCAGCCTGCTCCCGGTTCTTCACGAAGCAGCTGTTGGCCAGAACACAGCACCTTCTCCTCGCGCAACTGCGGCCACAGAACACCTGACTTCCAGTTATGAGCCATGTCGTATTTTCCAGTTAGAGCGTGCATCCAACAGCCAAAACGCAGGACCGAGCCAAGAGATCCTATTTCCAGCTTAGAAAGAAGACTGCTGAGCTGCCATGGGCCGTGCCGAAAAAAACCCTGACTTCCGCACCGAGCTCCCTGGGTCTCCTCACCTACTCAACACAAGCGTTTCACACTGGCCCCGAAGGATCCCTGCTGGTCTTAATGCACTAATGCCCAACGGAGGAGGATTTCCCTGGGGAATTAAGGCTATGGAAATCTCCGTGTCACAAGCGGACAGAACACTCATTTTCAAGATCCCAGAGCGCTTGCAATCTCAACTATTGGGCACCCACACTAAATCTTACAAGCCAGTTCTTAACAACTGATCGCGTGACCGAGTTCAGCTCACGCGGCCGCGTGTTTCATGCTGCCCGTCACCACCAGGATTCCAGGCAGGAAAAGCATTTAGCAAAAGAGTACCTGACAGAGACCAAACCTGAAACTTCCCCCCTTTTTTCTCATACAACGAACAGAAGTAATACTGTTAAAGGGTTACCTTGACATAAACTGCTGCCTGCTTTTTCCATACAGCCTCCTAAGGCTACCCAGTATTTTGGGAAGGGCAATCCCAGGCACTAGAACACATTCTTCAGCCTTAATTCTGTAGTGAAACAATTGACAGGATAAAAATCCCACCGGTATCCATGAGGGACAGCAGAAGGGCAGACAAGAGTGTGTGACAATTCATGCCTCTGCTCTGAGCTATTATCCTCTCACCTAGACAGCAGCTTCTAGTAATGCCCGTATTGCAATCTTACTCTGATTATG